GTAGCAATAGGAGTTTTTGTGCAAGCAGAAGCGTCGAGTCTCTCTGGCATTTCTATTGTATCAGTTAAACCCAAAAAGTAGTACTAACTTTGCGGTGAAAGTGTCAGAACCTAAAGCTGCTTTGTCTGCATGAAGGTTTTGGTAGGATAGAACTGGTAATAGAGAAGATCAAAATATTTATTATGAGAAACTAATTCATGCTCTCTCACAAGTAGCTCCATTATTCTAGGAAGTAACAAGGGGAACTCACTGCCGCCCATAGGTTAGGAACTTAGTTTTTTCTACTGGAGAAACTTAAAGTATAACAAAATCACTGCAAACGTGTGGGGTTTTTTTCCCTATTAAATATCAAACTTACAACCCTAGTGATTGATTCACAGTTTGAAGGTTATCTTTGCAATAAAAAGGGACATAAGCTTATGTGTTTTTAATTAAAGCTTGGATTAGATATAATAGAGCTTGAATTTCTCACACAAGATCTCTGACAGAAGGTGTAATTCATGCGGAGACCATCAAAGTTTCTAAATTTTGGATATTTTGTCTTCTAATATCTTAAATTTTTATAATTCCAATGAAAGTCGTGAAATAGTCCTTAGGAATCTCTGTGTTCTAGAACAGCTACAAAGTGTTGATTTTGACTTATTTGTTAATGAAAGGAATGAGATGTTTTTCTGAAAGTCTTAAAATACTTCTGAATATTTCATCCATTTAAAAGTATTTGTTTAACCTCATTTTTACACTTGCAGATTTTTCTGAAATAAAGAGAAATATGAAATTATTGGTGGAAACTTGCAGGCCATTGTCAAAATTGGCTTTGGGGACTGTTTAAAAGCATTGCAAACATTATCTGTGTTGTACTTTGCTCCATTGTCTCAGAGTAAATGGCAAGAAGGAAGCATGTTCCAACTTTCTAAACCGAAACAGAGTTTTCAAGACTAATGTTAATTTAATAAAAAGCCCTCTCTGTACCATTCTCACCCCCAATGATTCTTTTGCAATTCGTTTTCAAGGTAGAATTGCTTTTTCAGGCTGCTTTAGTGACATTAGCCTCCTTATGCCATGTATAGCATTATATAGCCTTCCGTGTTTCTGAAAATGTAGGTAGTCAAATATTCCTTTGTACAAAGCATTGTATAATATCTAGGTTATGTACAGTATCAAGTTAATGTTGATGAAACGGCCTTGACTCTCAGACTACCTTTGTTTTTTGAATATTGCTCTCTGACTCAAAACCTAATTAGTTTGGTCTCTTCTGGATTTGTACAATTTTGATTCAGCAGTAACTTCTTCAGAGTGGTTATGATTAATTTACTTTAACCTAATCCTTTTTTCTCTTAGTTAACGGAGGTGACATAAGAGCTGTGGTCTGTAGGCTTTTCATTGTTGAAAGGAACTGTTTCCTGGTTTACATGCTTAAGGTTTTGACAGTATTCAGACTCTCACCTGAAAGTACATTTATTTTTCACTTAAAATGTGTTTTTTACAGGTTCTTGAAAGTTTGTGGCTCTGAACTAGTACGTCTTGAGTTGTCTTGTGGCCATTTCCTCAATGAAACATGCTTGGAGGTCATTACTGAAATGTGTCCAAATCTTCAGGAATTAAATCTCTCATCATGTGATAAAATACCACCTCAGGCTTTCAACCACATAGCCAAAGTGGGCAGCCTAAAGCGTCTCATTCTCTACCGAACAAAAGTGGAGGTAGGAACAAATATTTTTAACCTTTGCAATAAATACTTTCAATCCTGGTAAAGCTGTATTTTTTTTTTTTCATTAATGAAGAAGTGAATTCGAATTTTGCATGTAAATTCAAAAGTAAATTAAGAAAATTCAAAGGTAGTTTCAAAAACCATAGGATTTTTTTTCTTATTTTCAAAATATCTTCTGGATTAAACAAAAATAAATAAAAAGCCTGCATATTTTAATTTGTGTGGAAGATTGCTTAGAACAGCTGGTGAAAAATCACCAATGTAGTGAAATCGCAAATGTGGAAGCTTTTCTCTTGTTTTGAAGTGTACTCCAGACAAACTGTATTTGGCAATAATACAGTAATTGGGAAATTATCCTGTTTAGTAACTTACTGTAACTATCAACATTATCTCCTTTAGAATGACTTACTAATTACTAGATCCCTCCTGTCTTTGTATATTAGCAGTATTTGAGACACAGAACACAAATTTTTTTAAAATACTTCTCATTCACAGTGTAAAAATTACTTCTTTATACAATTACTCAACTGCCCGATTCAGGGTTGTTATTTTTTGCTGCAACATACTTCCTATTTAAGATGGAATGCTTTTACATGCTACAGTTGAGAAGACTTGTAGTTTACTACATTTTACAAATGTTGTATCCTAGTAAATTCAGCAATTCAAATCGGAAGCAATTCCATTACTTCTCACTAGCTACATTACTCATGTATTACAACCTTGCTACTCTGTTTTACATGGAAGCTCTCATACTTTTGCTTCTCTTGTTGCAAAAGCTACTGCTTAGTAGAGCTCCAAAATGGGGGGAAAAACACGTCTCTGCAGTTTTTTCTAGCTTTTAGTTCTAGGTTAAACATTTTCAGAAGAGTTTGCTTGTGTGTGTTACTTCTGCTTATGCTTTTGGTACACAGAAGTGAGGTTATGACGCTGGATCGTGTGGGGTGTTAAGCTGTAGTGTAATGGAAGAACTGAAGCTGGGACAGTAGGTTCTGTCTACTAGATGTCCAAGGGGCATCTGAAGTTAAGTACCTTGTTTCATTTATAAGCAGTTCACACCTAACACCCATGCTGCAAAGTTAGTGGCATCTTCTTGTCCTTTTTTTGTTAAATCATATGTACGTTTGTGTCCAAGGTCTAGCTAGCTATCTGTAATGGTGATTTGGTAATGCAAGGTAGTTAGATTAAAGGGTAGTCTACCTGGAATGGTTGGCATTTGCTGTGGGGTATGCAGGCAGTCATCATGAAGCCGGTGCCCCTCAGTAACTTGTTACTCTGTGGTAGTTGCTCTGTGTATTGAAGCAATTGTTACTTTCTTCAAACTAAAAAATAAATTGGTGAGCCCTGCTTTTAAGAGCCTTTTGTATAGAGCTGAATCAGTGCCTTTGGCATATCTGTTCTGTTTCTAGATCACTAGTCTTTCTGTAAATCTTGGATAAATCTCCTTGCCTCATTTTGACTGTGGGCTCTAATTCACAAGGCTTTTTCAGATCCAAGAAAGATCATTGTATCAGAGGTAAAGATTGTATAATTTTTTTTTTCTACTGTTGAATGATCATAATCTTCTTGATTCTACTCAGGTAACTTCTAAAGTTTGAGACTTAGTGCTTGTAATAGTGCAGCAGCTGAGGTATACTCTGAAAATGATCAGTAACTGTCATTTCTCAGCTATCACTTTGCTGAACAGAGCTTGAAATTAGATTGAATGTAGGTGGTAGAGATTTCCTGACTTTGAAGTCCTTAAATTGTGAAGATTAATTTCTGCCTTTTATGTGTATGGACACGCATTGGCTTGTAGCTGACAAGAACGTTCATTCATAATCAAGCTTACTTAAGATTGTGCTTCTATTGTACACATAAGTATAAATAAAAGGCACTGTTCCTAACAAACCATGGAAGAGAAATTTCTAGAAATTTAAATAGGTAAATTGGAGAGGATGCTTTTGTGTTACTTGTTAACATGAAGCCACTTAACAACATATATTGTGTATCACAGGTGGAAAAGTAAAAGGGAAAGAATGAAGATGTAGCATAGGATTTGAATTAGAGGATTAGAGTTACAAAAGTCACAGATTTGTAGAAATAATATTACCTTTCTCAACGTTAGCTTCTCTTAATGCAAGTCTTTGGTTTTCTATACAAAATAGGCTGCCATTCCTTCTGTACTCTTCAGCTGGTACAGAGATGCTAGGTAGTAACTGGTGTCTAGATGCGAAAATACAGGATGGATTGATCAAGCATGCTCTGAAGTGATATAGACTTCTCTAAAACTTGTCAAAGAATTGTAATATAGTAGCGTTCTTGATTTTTGTGACATTTCTGCTACTACTGCATCTTCATTGTTGGAGCTTCTAAGGAGCAAACAATGGAACAATGCTAAAGTTGAATCAAGAGCTTGGCATTGTATTGTTGCCAACTGGACCTGCTCAGAGAAAAGAATCTGAGGCCGTGAATCCACTGAGGAAAACCGCTAACTGATTATTGTGAGATTATTAAGAGAAAGTAAGTAAGAAGGTGAGAAGAACAGAGCTGATGTGTGTGTTATGGTCCTTTGTAAAAGTTCTGTCTCAAAATCAAAAAAAGGAAGCCAAAAGAAAAATCTGTTCATTCCATTTAGCACACTGTTTTCCTAAATAAATCAGTGGTTTGCTTTTTCCTTAAAACCAAAGAACAAACAAAATAAAGCACCAAGTATCTTACTCTAAATTTTCTTCTTGCATCATATTCTAGAATGGCAAAGGTACAGGTCCTACCATAATTATCAGTGTTGTCATTTTTTGTGGCGGAAGGATGGCATCCCTGTTCATCCTGTGTCAACCGCCTTGATGTAAAAATGGGGTGATGCGCTTCTGATTTTACTGGAGATTTTGGGGTAATTGCCAAAATGTGAAGAGGGAGTGAATATGCAGAGAATAAGTAGGTAAAAAGTTGACCAAAATGAGTTCTCCAATGGGATATCATAGTTTTCTTTGTATCTTACTGCACACTTAGAGGCAGGCACTGGAATTGAAGTCTAGTAAAATTAGATCAGATGAGGAGGGACACTGCCTTTTGTGCTTGTAAACAGTCTGATGCATTTATTGTTATGGCTGATCAAGGTAAACACAAGTTGAATTATTTAAGCGAAGTGATTGTACTTTTAAAAACAGGCAACACTAAAGAGAACAAGGAAAGCAAAATAGGACTTAATGCTCTAATTGACTTTTAAAGGAGGGCCCCTCTCTGCATGTTATTTGTGATGCCAGTGAAAAAGGGGTCATTTTCCTACTCCACAGTTGTTAATCTCTGTTGAAAATGCAGTGTTGTGTTAGAGCACATCAGGGTAAATAGTACAACTTGTTCTTTTGGCTGTGAGTTTGGGCGTGTGAGTAAATAACATAGGCTATGGGATGAAAATTCTCCATCCTTGTCAGTATGTGATAAAGCTGTTTCTGTTTTTGCATGATGCTTTATAAAGTACAGTATTAACATTTTATTAAAAGAAGTGGTATTTTGATTAAATGAAAACAAACTCCCATGTACCTGTCCAGGTGTAGAATTTCCTTACTCAGACTACGTCTTGCAGTACTTTCCTTTTATTTTTTTGTTTTTTAATGCTAAAAAAAAAAAACCAGAGAAAAATTGCTTTTAACATTTAAGTTTAAAGTATTTGTTGTACTTTTTCTGTTTATATGATTACTATGACAGTAATGGATGAATTCTGAGAAAATACTCCAGTATTTTCTAGAGTATTGACTAGAAAATTGACTAGTGTTAATGATTTTTGTGTGTTAGGTACAGAAAAACAGATTTTGAGGAAAACGGAAACTTAATAAAATTGTCAGCATATTATGTAATCATCTGAGCAATTGCTATGAGAGTTTCTTGTTATTTTAGCTGTTTTCTTTGAGTAGGTTTTGTATTTAAAAATATTCCCATTGTCTCTGTAATTAAAGCTCCAATTTTTAAGTGTATGTTTTTAGTGAAACAGGCAATTCTGGTGTTCTGCTACTTATTGCACTGCATTGCTATTTTGGAGGATAGCTGTACCATCTGGAGGAGTTTATGGTCTTTTGGTCCTAACCCTGCTGATTCTTAAGGCCATATATAATGTTATTTCCTTGACTTACTGAGTGCAAGTTTCTGTGTACAAAATCGGTTTCAAACGTCTGAATTGAAGCTTCCAACACCCTTGAATTATTCCAACCTCTCTGTTACAAGAAGGAAAGTCCAGTGACTCTCAGTAACTTGTTCCAGGCTGAACAAGAAGGAAAAAAAAAAAAAATTTACATGTCCTGCATTGCTATACTCCTCCCCACTAAATGCAGCTCATTTTTCCAGTGCTTTAAGTTCATTATTAAAGGTTTCATTCTTAAAGGTTTTTCGATTATGTATATGCTTGAAATAATTTGTAACTTGCTTTGAGAAACTACTCTCAACATTTCATAAATGTAATTTCTGCTAGCTCAAGACCACTATTATACTTTTGGGATTTTTGTGCTGGTGGTTTTGGTATTTACTGATACATGACTCCATAATATTTATTCATTGGGAGTGTATTCACAGCATAATTTAAGCACTTGCTGGCATTGATACATTTGAAGAATACAATGAACAATAGAGGTATTATTGTATACAGTAATTGGCAATGCACATATTTATGGTTTGAGTATTAATATTATCTTGATTTAATGCTTATCATGAAGTATTCCATCTATATAAATAATGCAGCCAAAATTGTATTTTAAAGAAACCAAAGCCACAATTACAGTATGAGAACTTGACAGTCTCCTTATTGTTGGGTGTAAATTTTAATGTAAGATTATATATTTCATGTTGCATGATATTCTGAATTCTTTATAATGTGTGAAGAGAAAGTTTTTGAAGTTTGTGTTGCAATTATAATTGAAATACAAAATGAACTAAATTTAAATCAAATTACAACGGACAAAGGACTTTGTTTTGCACACATTTTAAAGCAAGTGTTGTATTTATAGATTTTATCTCTGATGCCTT